TCCCTTCCCTACAGGAGTATGAGGGCGATCGCGGTGCTCATTCCCTCCTCACCTTCGCCAACTCCATCGGGTCAGCAGCTCTGGAGGCTACAGGAGGCAAGAAGGGCGCGGCAGCAGGAGCAACAGCAGGAGCAGCGGCGGCGGCAGGAGCAGCAGGAGCAGGAGGAGCGAAGTCGCAAGTAGAAGCTTACAACAAGGCCTGCCAGCAGAGATATGGAGAGTTTGCTGAGTTTGATGGTAAGGAGGTGGGAAGGCAGGCAGGCAGGCAGGCAGGGAAGGAGGGAGGGAGGGAGGGAGGGAGGGAGGGAGGGAGGGAGGGAGGGAGGGAGGGAGGGAGGGAGGGAGGAGGAACGAGGGAGGGAGGGAGGGAGGGAGGGAGGGAGGAGGAAGCAGGTGTCAATGAGGTTGTGTCAGTAATCGTCGAGAGCTCAATCGCCTGGGATCAACGACCTGGTCTCTCATCTGGATTCTCACGGGGGTGAGAAGTGGAGGGGGGGAGGAGAGGAGAGGAGAGTTCCTGAGGTTCCAGGCAGCTCTCCTACTGCATCTACTGCTTCCACTACATCTTCGTTGAAGATGACGACGGAGAAGTCTTGAAGTTCCAGCATGTCAGTCAGACTCCCCGCCCCTGCTCATGTGACGATTGCTTCCTCCTAGGACTCGTTCGCGTCCGAGGCTGAGTTCATCCTACCTGGCATGTCGCAGGTACTTCTGCTCGTGGTTGAGACTTGACGAGCTGACTTGGAAGGCAGCAGGGTGACAGTCTAGAGGAGAGATTGAAGCGATGGCCGGAGGAGGTACAGCAGGAGCAGCAGCAGCAGCAGCAGCAGCAGCAGCAGCAGCAGCAAGCTGTCTAATCTCACCAACGCCACTTTTAGGATTCGTCAACTCCGCTGGTCATTGTGGAAAATCCTGGAAGCTCCTTGCGGCTGCTGAAGGAAAGTGGAGGGGGGAGGAGAGAGGAAGCAGAGATTTGCGGGAGGACGGGCGGGGCGGGGGGAAGTGAAATAGGAGAGAAACAAACAGAAGGAGAGTGAGAACGAATATGTGAGTGTGCGTGCGTGGAGCAGGAGGAGGAGGGAAAGGTGTAAAGATGTATTTTATGATCCTCGCGTGCTCCAACAGGCTGCGAGGACTTCAAAGATTCTTCCTGCAAGGCATGCCACTCTCCTCAGGTCTGAGATGTTCTCTTCTCCTTCTTGCCTCTACCCTCCCTTTCCCTCCATACCCTCCTGTCCTCCTGCTCTTTCCGATCCCCATTCCCTCCCGTACTCAATTCTCCTGCTCCTCCTCCCTATCCCCCTCCTCCCTCTCCCTCCTCTCTTTCTATCTCCTGCCTCCTTCCTCCTCTGTTTCAATACTCCTCCTCCTCCTCTGTCCCTCCCCCCCTCTTCTTTCCTATCCCCGCTTGTGGCTCTTGTCCTCTCTGCCCCTGCTCACGTTGATCGTCGCCCTCTTTCCTGCAGCATCAACGGGGACGGCAACCTTCTGCTTCCTCCCCCGCAGAATGTTCTGGACGGACTAGCAGACGGCGGGGTGGAGGGACAGGACAAGGAGGACGAGCACAGAGGTAGCGAGGGGAGGGGGGGGGGGAGGAGGAGGATGAGGGGATGAGCAGGTCAGGACCTCGTGCCTCGAGCAACTTTCGGGCTGGCGTCTGTGATGAGGTGAAGGAGAGAGGAAAACGAAGCAGACGTAGAGATATTGGGGGCGCCTGGCCAGGAGGAGAAAATAAGGAGGAGGAGGAGGAAAAGGTGGTGGTGGTGTGGTGGTGATGATGATGTGGTGGTGGTGGAAGAGGAAGAGGAAGAGGAGGAGGGAAGGTGAGTGTTGTGGGTTTTGACTGTTTTCAATGCGTGCAGTGGCATTGTCGATCGCCTTTTCCTCGTCACTCCTGCTACTGACCTTCGCGAGCTGCTTCTGATGAAAGGTTCCTCCTCCTCCCTCCTCCCCCCTCCTCCTCCTCCTCCTCCTCCTCCTCTGCTGCTGCTGCTGCTGCCACATCCCCATCTCCCTCCTCTCCCTCCTCTGCCTCTTCTCGTTTGCTGCTCCCCCTACCCCTACCCCTTCTCCTTCTCCTTCTCCTTCCCTTCTACCTCCCGCTCTCCCTCCCTGACCTCCCATCATCTCTTCCTCTCCCCACCCTGCTTCACACGAGCTTGCAGGCAAGGATGTCACATTCAAACACATCGTCCGAACAGAGCCAGAGCAAGAATCCTGCAACGCGTCCTTCTCCTCCTCCTCCTCCTCCTCCTTCTCCTCCTCCTCCTCCTTCAACTTGCTGGAGGTTGGCCAGCCTTTCTTTGTCCTCTGCCTGATCCACGCGTTTAGTTCAACTTCTCCTCCTCGTCGAGCCTCCACGTGAACGAGAGGGAGGAGGAGAGGGGAGAATACAAGACCTTCGCTCTCACTGGAGACTTTGCCATCCCCCTCGGTGAGGAGACGAGACAGACTCTCCTCCTCGCTGCTGCCTCACTCGATTGCAGACGCTGACAAGCAGAAGCACCCGCTGGCAGGCATCGACGTTGTGAGGGTACGAATACATCATCATCATAATCATAATCATAATCATCATCATCATCATCATCATCATCATAATCATCTCCTCCTCCTCCTTGAAATTCGCACGCTGTGCATCTGTGTTCCTTCCTCTCGCTCCTTACTCTCTGACTTTCCCTCAAGATCAACACCTCCGTCTCTCTCCTCCAGCAACGGTCCTCACCGCGCTCTGCTTCTTCGGCCTGCTGCAACGGCTGCAAGGTTGTCGAGCGAGCACTGGGAGGGAGGAGGAGGATGACGCTGGGGCAGGTGAAGAGCGCGGGGGAGGGAGGGGAAGGAGTGCAGCGTCGAAGTTTCAGCTCGTGGAAAGGAGAGCTAGCGGACGCGGACAATGAGAAGGAAGTGCTCTATGACGCCAGACAGGTCTACCCCAAGATCCCTCCTCCTCATGCTGCTACTTCTACTGCTGCTGCTGCGGCTCCTCCTCCTCTTCTTCGCCTTCTTCTATCTTGTCAACCTTGTGCTCCTCTGGCTGAGATTTTTCTCAGCTCATCGACGCCATGATCCCTCTAGGGCCCTACGTCCTTGCTTTTGACCTCTCCTACTTCAGGTGCCGATCCGCATCCACTACCACCTCCCAACCCCTCCACCCCACCTTCCTCCCTCGCTTTTCCTTTCCTTTCCTCACCCCCTCCCGCTTCCCTCCTTCCTCTTCTCTCCTGTTCTCCCCCTACCCTTCCTCATTCCTCTTCTTCTCCTCTTCATCTCATCTCATCTCATCTCATCTCATCTCATCTCATCTCATCTCATCTCATCTCATCTCATCTCATCTCATCTCATCTCATCTCATCTCATCTCATCTCATCTCATCTCATCTCATCTCATCTCATCTCTTTTCTCTCTCCTACTTGCATTCTTACCATCTCCCAGCAATCGCTTTCAGAGTCTCGACCCAGCAGACGAGTGCATGTGGCTCCTCCACGTATCCTGATTCCCCCCCCTCCCCCTCCTTCCCATCCCTCTTTCTCGTTCCTCTCCCCTTCTTCTTCTTCCTTTCCCTTCCCTATCCTCCTCTTGCCATCTTCATCCCATCCCCCCCGCTCCCCCCTCACTTCTCCTTCCTCTCATCCTCTTTTTGTCCTCTACTGTGCAGGAAGAGCAGGCAAGGAAGTGTGTACTTCCTCTTGCCAACGACGACAGCATGCCAGCAGCAGGTTGCTCTCCCTCCACTCCTGAGCTCTTTCCCTGTTGTTGCCGTTTCCTGCTCTCTGT